TCTGAAAAGCGCTCAGGTTGCATCGAACTCATAGGTCTGAGAAGCCCCACATCAAAGCTGAGGCAAGAGGTATTGCTCACAGTGGAATAACGTGGGGGCCGGTCTCGAGGTGGCGTCGAGGGCAGGCCCGGTCTGGCCTCAAGCAGAACAAAAGCATTCAATTTTAAGCAACTTCAAAACATCAACACAAGGACAAACACAACGGCACTCTGTGTGTGTGCATGCGTCCACATCGTGAATTAGGCATCCACCAATTCAATAGACACATTATTGGACCAGATGTGGTCACCTCCCGAAGTTGCTCCCCTGCCTCGTCATAGTAGTTGTCTTGCTGCGCCCTGAGCCGAAAAAGACTCGACTCGACCGCAATGTCCCACAGTTATCAGCAAATCTAGAGTCATAGGATTGGTTCAAGGGAAGATCCATCGGTGACCATGGTTTTCACCACCAACTATGAGTTTTTTTCTGTGGATTTCCCTTAAACCAATTCTGGGAAGTAAGGATGAGTGAGGAATGGTTAGTTCCCGCACGCAAATGCCAGGTCACAAGCGGCAGTTGTGCAGGAGTTTCAACATCTCTTCCCGCGTCTCATTTTGCCTGTTCGAAGGCGAGACCCCTTCAACAGACGAGAATGCATCTCGAACAAGTAGTTTGCTTCTGGCCTTTGTGCTTACATGAGTGAATTCGTGCATCACAGGCTTCCTCATGATACTTTGGAAGGCAACCACAAGCCATGGTTTCCAGGTCACCCAAACCCACAACATGCTTGCTGTGTGGACAAGGCATTGCTCGGCCTTTCTGCCATTTGCTGCTCCAGCTTCAAGACCCTCTCCTGCATCTCTCGATATTGACTCCAGCTTGGTCCTGGCAGAAGTGATCCTCATGATAATTCCCCCTAGAGTTGGATATCAAGTGAACAAAGGACTTTTAATGGTGTGATTGTATTTAAAGAAAATAATATTGATAAAGCTGTTTGCGATGGTCATCTACATTTGGGTCTACAAGCTCTACAAAGTTACCAAATTACAAGAAAAATTGACGTTTACTAACTAAAGTATCTCAACTACAGTTTACCACAGTTCACCGTGAGGCAAAGCAGACCATTTTCTTGGGGTCATCTCCATTGAGAACGCACAAACCACGAAACAGCCCGGTCATTACTGTTCTCGCCTGCGTCCAGCTCGGTCGGGCAGGCAGTCGAGCGGGCGTCATCCTCAACAAGGCGAAATGGGCAGTCGGAAGAGAGGAATGGCACCGAAGCAAAGGAATTGCATACCCAAGGTTAGAAGTAGTACCAGGACAAACTGAAGGACCAAAAAATGAATGAATTAATATAAATTACACGTTCTACTTCAAGGCGTCAAGAAGTAGAACCTCGGTCTCGGTGAAGACCATCCGCATCAATCCGCTTTTGTTAGAGTCAAAACGTCGTCCGCCATGAGACGCATAGACGGAAAAACACTGGAACGCATCGTTCCGCCGAGAAAAACACTGCTGTCGCCTCGACAGTAGATCCAGCGAGCGACAGTCTGGGCTGCCTCGCACCGACGGTCGAGTCCAGCAGAGTCCAAACCGCTTCGACTGGGTACGCCTCCGTCTCCGACTTGCTGCACTGGAAACTGTATCCGCTTGTTTTGGTGTGGTCTGCTGATGGTCTGCTGATCTGCTGAGAGTTTTTGTTGAGACGTCATGACTTCCTGGAAGGGAACAAGGGGATTTCTGGAGGAGTGGAAATGCCCATATCACTAGACACAGGTTTTGATGGACCGTTGGACCGCTAAAGAGTTGTTGGGATTAGTTTGGGACTTGGCTTGACGATGATCCGTCATGACCCAAATCGTACCTTGAAGTTGGTGAATTGCGGCAAGGCGAGGCAACATCAGCAATGAGATCCTTGCCAAAACGTTGGTCCTGCAAACATGGCTGAGGTGAGACTGTTCCAAGTTGCAACAAGCATGTTTCTCAGTAGGCACTCTTTCCGATCCCCACCTCCTCTGACTCTGTTCTCAACTTCTTGTCCTCCTAAGAGCATTTGATCTACCAGTGGCTGAGTATCTTGCTGGCACGCGTTGCACAGAAAATGCTCAGCCAGGGACCAAATCCTTCTTCATTCGCCTGATCTCCTCTTCATATTGCGCCCGAGTCTCAGCCTCTCTTCGGTCAGCTTCTGCCTTGAGCTGAGCTTCTCTTTTCGCAGCCTGTGCTTTCATCTCTGCCTGCTCAGATGAGGACCAACATGGATGGGGCACTGGATTCCACGCCATCCAGGCGCGTTTCCTTTACTGCAAGTTGGTTCAAGCTGCAGGTTTGTGCTGGAAAACAAGTTGCAAAGGTGTTTTGGTATACAGCAGGCCTCATAGGCAGCCTTTTCTTCCAGCTCTCTTTGGTGTTCTTCTTCCAACTTCTTGATTTGCGCGAGTCTTTCTTCCTCTTGCTTCCGCATTTCCTCTTCATGCTTCTTCTGTTCCTCCTCGCGCTTCCTCTGCTCTTCCTCCGCCCGCTTCCTTTCCTCTGCTCCGTGCGAAGCATGAAAGGAAGAAAGACAAAGCAATGACTCTGACCCATCACTTTCCTGTTCCAAAACCCATCAAATCGTCCTTCTTTCTCTCTTTCCACCCACCAAAATGCCTAAATCATCTTCAAGAGATTCCTCTTCAACATGGTGGCAGGGAGGTCTTCTCCCACCGGAGGTCTTCGCCCCCCCCTTCACCGGTCGTTCACCACCTCCCGCCTCGGCCGCACGGCGCTCCTCTTCTCGCCGTCGCTCAGCCTGGAGACTGGGCGAACGTGGAGCTCCCATTCAGTCAGCCAAAGGACTTGAGGATACAACGACCAAAACAACGACGCGACAACCCCGGGGGTGGCCAGACGCATGTTGTGTGGGAAGGGCGCGCTTCCACCGTCGGTCCCGCTCGCCGAACCCGGTCTTGGAAGGGGCTCTTCGCGTCCGCGCCTCGCGGCGCACCGCCTCGGCGGCCAGTCTTTGACGGGCTGCGTTGGCCAGAGGGATGAGCCTGGGGCGTGGGAGCCAAAAGATCATGTTGCGGATTGGTGGCAGGGTGGGTGGGTTGGGGTTTTGGTTGGCCTAAGGATCCGCTCTTTTCGGTCCATGTTCCAGGCCTATATGGTTGGTACATGTTGGTACAAACCTGGGACGGGTGGACTATGACTTCTAGAACTCCAATTCGAAAGGTTTGGCCACAATATGCCACCAGTGCCCAGCCTCTTGTGCAAGAGCCATGCCACGGAGAAGGCGTTGGCTAGCTTTCTCTGCCGAGCGTCCCTGACCTTCAGGGAAGATTCCACCGAGATGTTGGACAGAAAGGCATCATGTTGGCAACACGAATGTCTTTGGCTTGCAGTTTTGTACTACAACGGCTCCAGGGTCTGAAGCAAGAAAGACATGGAGCGACCAGTGACTGGAAGAACCTCCTGAAGACTTGACATCGCTTGGGCAAGAGCCTTCACTTTATATATATATATATTCATGGACATGTGAAGCGAGAAGATGGTGGCCAAGGTCTGGGTCTTGAAGGAGAAAATACACTAGTTGATGGCTCCTGGAAGACCATGAAATCCTGGACAAGCAGGTCGTAACACCACTTCCGTTAATGACTCGGAGAGAATGCATGGGTGCGATGGGTGTGTATTGAAATAGCCCCCCCGCAGTTCGAAGGGAAGTAGACCAAGACTCATTGGTTGAGGGTCTCCCTATCAAAATACACATTAATTACCAGCTAAGCCTTATTCTATATTTGGGGTGAAGCTGGAATTCCTCAACTTTTGGCTTCGCTGGTAAATGATCGTTTGAGATCTCGGCCCTTTCATTCGAAGAACCCTGAGGCTTCCACCTCCGATATCTACCGACAAACCTTCCTTCAGCATGCACCTAAACGTCAGCTTTCTAAATCCGAATCATCAGGATCTGAATGATTCAGGTTAACAGCGTTCATTGATCTTCATTGATTTTCATTGATCTTCTTTGATTTTCATTGATGTTCATTGTCTAGAACAGTCAGTTTTCATTGATCTTCATTGATCTACTGGCTTTCATTCGGTGGAATCTTGCTCTGAAGAAGCTTGTCCTGCCCATGACATCTGAGCAACTATTTTCCCACTGCCCATGACATCTCGCCTTCTTCATGAAGACTGTTGAGGCATAAGCGGCCGTGCCCCACACACGCCAGCGCCGCTGGGCAGCCAAGGCACGCAAGCGCAGCTTTTCCCTCGCGAAGCGACGAACTCGAAGCTCCCGAAGCAATGAGACACACTGAGACACTGAGACAGAGTTCGCAAACATGTTTTTTGTTTCACATCAACAAGTGTTAACAGGTCGCGGTTGTCACACATGATTGGCGTTGCAGGTGTTTCAGAGGATCCAGATCGCCGTCTTGTTGTGCCAAAGCGATGTTCCTCTACACCGACAGGCGGGGGTGGGACGTCGGTTTGGGGCTTCGTCCAGTTCCATCCCACGTCACCCAGAGGGACAGACAGACCTGCCTCGCTGCCAACAGCATAGGCTGCAGCCGACCCACCAGCAACGCCCGGGTGCACAAGGTCCGCAAGGCGCGTGCCGTGCGCAGCTCCGCCAGGAACCTGCAGGGTGAGTAGTTGGTATAGTCCAACTTACATGATGCGTTTTTATGCGTTTTGTTGCATGAAACTGTTAGTATAGTGCAATGTTTTGGGACTCTGTTGTCCTGATTTCACATCAGACAGGCCAACATCGATATTCTCCCCTTAGAAATGTGGGCCGTTTTTGTCACCCCCCCCCCGAACGGAATGGTTTAAGTTCGTCTTCTCCTTCGTGTGACCCAGGGTTCGTGTACTGGCTCCTCGAGTGGTCAGGGATCGCAGTTCGTCCGGACTTGGGCCGTTGGCCAAAAGCGACGGCCGTGACGTTCGTAGCGATGGCCTGCACCTAGTAGCTTCTAGCTACGAACGTAGCTTCTTGTTAATCTCATCACGCGAAAAGCACAGAAGCCACGGTGGAAGCCGGCTTAGCACATCGGCTTAGCACGTCGCCTCGGCAGATAGAGGCACAGCTGGATGGCGTTCTTGGCGCGAACCCATTTCTTGCGAATGATGCTGTGCACGATGGCCTTCAAGCGCTCAGGATCTGCCTCGGCACCTGAAAACAGCGAGAAAAGAGACCAGCTTCTGTTTCACACATTATCTATTTTATATCATATTTGTACCGTTCTTAGACAACAATCTTGGACATAGGCGTATATATGCGTATATGCTCTTTAAGTATCTCGAAGGGTATGAGCTCACAAACAAATACCACTGGTTGAGCCCCAGCCAAGAGTACTGGTGCCGATGGAAAGGTGCTTTGAGATGCTTTGAGGTAAGCTCAATCCCTTGAGGTCCGTGGCTGATGTTCTTCGAGCGGAGCATGCTCCGGCTCCAAGGATCCAGCACGGATGGAACAGCAGAGCGATGCAAACTGGCATAGAAGCGCTTCGCACGATGCTTCTGGAAGACACAAAGCGCCGTGTTGAGCGTAAAGACCCCTTGTCCCGATCCCCCTAACTACCTCAGCTCTCATGTATCCCAAACTCTTCGAGTGACTGGCTCGCTGAACCGTTCGAACTGCCAAAACACCTGACAGCCGAGCCGCCTTCGGATCGCATGTCCTCCAAGGCTTTCAGCTGCCCCGCTTTCAAGAAGAGACGTGACATGCCCAAGGCCCATTCCTCCAAGAGAAGAGGACGTGCTGCGGGGAACCATCGTGGATCATCATGTCTTGCGAGTTGGGTGTCACCATGATCTGTGATTGGGTCTTTCCCATCGACCAATCCCTCACACCGAGTCACACGGTCGGTTCCCCGGCCCACCGGTGGCCCCGGAGACCGCGCCTGCTCAGGAACCTCATAGGCCAACATCAGAGCTTCGATGAAGGTTCGCATGCCATAGCGCTGGAAGCTCTCGGGCAGCAGATCTCCTAGGCCGTGTCGCGCGCGACCGTCCGTTTGGTCTTCCGACGACGGGAGCGTGCGGTCTTCGTTTCTGTTCGGTCGGACAGGTCACGGAATGGTCGGAGAGGGACATTCAGACCTTTGACCAGGTTGGACAGGCAGAACTCAAAACACGTCGCGTTTCGTGTCTACAAAGCCCGTCATCACCCAACAAATTTTAAAGACTTCATATATTGGGTAGATGAACACAAGTATCCCATTCCCTGATGATGGTTAGTAAAGGCCTTTCGCTATAATTGTTTGCCAACTGTTACAGGTAATAGGACACCCGGATTATAATATACACCAATTGATAGACCAAGCGGCGGAACCGTTGCACGATCGTATTGAAGGGGCTGCGGTTTGGATAGCCGTCGTGCATGATCTTCACCAATTCGATCGTGCCACACCTCAATAGTTGCTGTTCCACTAGTGAGTCGCTAGTCACTGGTGGCAATTGGGAAGAAGGAAGGGATCTTTTGAAGGCGACGGTGTGTACTACTGGACTCCTTCCCAACGCAGCCACAGCTTGGTCACTTATACGTTGGAACTATTTCAGTCACTGCCACATTCGAAGACTGACAGTTTCTGGGCCAAAAGCCCTGTCCTGATAGCCAACATACATTCAAAAGCCTGAATCTCGTTCAAACCCCCTTCATCATTGCCATCCCACACCCTCACACCAAAGGACACTTGCTGTATTGACTCCTCGAAAGCTTCTCCGAGCTGCCCCGGAGAAAGCACGCTTCTCTGGGGCACCCGACTGGACCAGCTGGTCCAAGACCAAGGTCTGGCTGAAGATCGCAGGCTTTTGAAACTCATTCGGCTTAAAGCAACCTAATCATCGACGCCCTCCCGATATGGCTCCCGGCTTCGGACGAGGCTCTCTCCGAACGGAGCTGACGAACGACGGAGGAAGGACCAGGAGGAAAAACCAAACGGGTCTCCGAGTGGAGAAAAAAGGGAAAAGGGAAACCACGGGAACATGCGACCCTCCGGTGTTCGCCAAGATCGCACTCATTGCGAGGACAGCGAGGACAGCGATCCATCCGAATTTCGGGCGGAACTCTGGGTGAACTGCGGGTGAACCTGGTGATGGAATGGCGGTTGATTGGTCTCAAACACTTGGCGGTGTGAAAACCACCTCTTTCCAAACCCCCCCCTTCATCTTGAAGGCATGCCAGTTCCAGGAGTTCAATGCCTGCTACTCTCCCACGTTATGTGCAGCGCTGCCTTCCACACACAAACCGGCATCTGTCTTCTTTCCAAGAGACGAATGTAGTGTAGGTGGCAGGTGTTGAGCGTCTCCAACAGATTTTCCAGATCGGCACAATACTTCTTGCTGATCGACCTGAATGGCACCTGCGTCCGGCGGTCTGGCGGACGACGAACGACGGACGCATGCCATGACGAAAGGACCTTTGTACTGTGAAGATGTTTGTGCATTGAGAGGACGAATGAGAAGCTGAGAAGCTTGTGATCGGTGACGGCGTCGTTTCCGATATCGGAAAGAAACTTCCACAGAGGCCTTAGAGCATCAAATCTGATACATGTCTCTGCATCTCACCGAACTCACGGCAGGAGCAGGTTCCGGAACACGGGGAGACCCACGCCTTGCCAGCATCCGCTTCTCCAAGGGAGGCAACGAAATCGAAGCTGGAGGTACCTCAAAGGCAGGCGCAGGAGGAGGTAGGTTTGTCTCCACCAGAAGGTCTTGCTATAGTAGTTGGGCTTGCATATAGCCAGCACCTGTATCGGTTTCAATGTCATTGAGGATGATCACATGCTCATTGCATCCCAATTGCAAATCAAATCCTCGCATTCTGCCAGAAGCCTGTCGTTGTTCCTTGGTTGTAGGCCGGAAGAGCTCTGTCAGTTCGTTGCACGAGGAAATGGATTCAGCACATGCAAAGGAATTCTTGCAAAAATGAGATGTGTCCCTTCTTTGTATAGCAGAATATGCAGCATGAGCATGTAAAAACAAACCAAAGATGTCTTTCAGTGGCCTTCCGTTTCATGTTCAGCCTCCCGGCGAGCTTCAAGAGGGTGTGTATGAAATGTCCAACAAACCAGTGCAAGAACTGGCCAACCAAGTGCTCAATGCAGGTACATTGCGCACTGTGAACTGTGAACTCTGAGCTAAGATGGTCCCATATTTGCTTAGACCCTCCTAAATTTGGCGATGTTGCTCTCCTCCGATCATGCTCGGTTTGCTGCAGCTGAAGGTCTTGTCCAACCAGCCCTTCGTGTTATATTCCACCATGCCCGCATAATGCTTGACCACGAAGCCCTGCAGAATGCCGTCCGGAGGCTTCGCGGAAAACTCACGAGTTCCAAGTGTGCTATAGACTGATTTCTTCACGGAACGTCTCAGATCCATCAACCCCTTCTCGCAAACTCGCCCAATCGAGAAAGCTGCGCACCAGACCTCCTGAGTTTTACACCGTTCACACCTGCACCAGTCAATACATGTCAATACAAAACATTCCCACTTACAGTAAAACGCAACAAAACCTCGCGAATCCACATGCTTCTTTGTCTAACTTGTGTACCCAAAACTGCCCTTTTCGGGTCCCACTCTTGTGCAAAGGTGGTCTTCGCAGCCCACCAGCTTTTGCAGAAAAGACGGTCTTGGTCACCTTATGTTTAAAGAAAAGCAAAAAGCAACGGAGCCGATTCGCTGCACTTCGTCCGGACAGTGATGGATCTCATGTTCGGACAGTGACGTCACACTCCCCAGGTCCATCACCGACGTCCCCTGCAGGTCATTAGTGTCCCCACTTCCCAGCAGTGTCGACGAGCCGACGAGCCGTGGTGATATGGGCGGTGGTGATGGGTGCCCCCCCCGCCGTCTTCGCACATCGGCATCGCTCCCGTTCGTGGAAGTCTAGGTGGGTCAGGTGCGGTTAGGTAGGTTCCGTTTTCGGGTCGTGGAAGGTGGTAGGGTCCGGGTGCTCTCCTCGTTCATGGCCAGGGAGGTGCCAGCTTTGGAGCCACGCTTGTTGGACATCTTCAAAGGTCGAAGCACTTCCTTGCGCTGCACGTCCTAGCGGACGTAGAGGTGGTAGAGGCACAAGAGGCACAAGGTTTGTTGGTGAAAGACTTTATTTGTGTTACTTCTTAGTCTAGCTTGCATGGCTAAGAATGACTCTGGTCGACTCTTCTTTTTTAGTTCACATGCGAACCGAACCGAAAGGCCACTCAGCCACTCAGCTCTCGATTCTCCCAAGCAGGATCTGGTCGACTTTCGAACCAAACGAACCCAGGTGAAAAGCTCAGCTTTCGACCATACTTCTTTTCGATGCATACTTCTGTTGGCTTTCCAAATGACGGTGACAGGTCCTTCTGCGAATCCTCCACGGTCTTCTGGCAGAAGCCTTCGTCAGAGGTCTTCTCGAATCCTGCAACAGGATTCGAAGGAGAGAGGTGGGTATCGCACCTGGTCGCCAGAACATACTGATGGGACACCTCGTCGGAGGGAAGATGTCGCGAGTCAACCTCATGAAGTTACGAAAGGACGATGATGACTGAGAAGCTTGTCAATGCGTACCCGCAGTCAGTCTTTTTCCCAAGAGTCACCTAAAAAGACCTGACTGATTGGAAGTCGCACCTTGGAAAAGCAACTGGGAAAGATGAGATGGTGCTCATGACTCCTTCGCAGATTTCGCAGCACTTGCACCGCCCAACCCAGCATCCAACCCACCACCCACGACGCACGACAGCCTTTCGCGAGCTGCTGGGAGTATTCATCCAGGGTCTTGAAGGTTTGCACAATGGCAGACACCACCTGATTGTTTTCACGAAACGCTGATAAGAGGACCCCCCCGGTAGTAGCCAAACGGAGTCATGTCCACCAGGACTGCGTCTATTTGTTGACCATACTTGGAGTCATACCAAGAGTAAGAGCACAAAAAACAATCCATGCAACAAGAATCAAACAAAACAGCGTCCAAAGAGAAAGAGTAGTGGGACTTGAGAATAATCACAATTCTTTAAACGCCCTTGAGATACTCCAGTTTTATCATGCATTTTCCATGTTTTTCTCGTTTTGAACCAAAAGAACATTGAAAAACATCCATGAAAAGCCACTGGTTTTGCAGCCACTCACTCGTCGGACTGGGTGCCCCGAACGGGTGTGGAGTCCGGCAGCTCCAGGCCGATCCATGGCAAGCCCTGGCGGCAGAAAGCAGTGCTTCAGCAGTGCGATTCGTCGCTGCTCCAACAGGGCGCTCAAACACCGGGGTGCTCATCTTGCCCCAAAAAAGACTGGGCCATCTTGGCCAAGACGTGGCCCAACGATCCTGCCCCTACCAGTTCTGCCCCTACGATCTTACGCATGACACAGACTAGGCTCACGTGAGCGCACACGCTCGACCCGTCATCTCTCCCGAACTCCTAGATCTCTCCCGTGGCGATGGACGGCGTCGACGTCCCGTCCTCGCGCTTGTAGAGATCCTGCTCAGCCACCAAGACATTCCTCGGGAGCACCGGCACGGAAGAGCATGGCACTCGGCATCCGGAGGTCGACGAAATTGAGCAGATTCTTCAAGTTCCGAAGAAAAAAACAAAAGTAACATCAGCTTCTTTGCGATTGGGTTGGGTTTCATGGATCCTGTGACCTGTCCAAGAAAACAAGTCTTTGAAACGGCAGGGTCATCGTTCTTCGGCCTGGTTTTGGTGTCGAAACTTGAGGCCGGCGGATCGGTGAACCCATGACTGGAGGCAGAAAAAAGAAACACTGAGAGTCCTCGAACGTGCACGCTGGAGGCCGGCGATGTGGTTGTGGTCGAACGTGCGCGAGTGCATGGGATGTACAACCACGTTTAAAAAATATAAGAAAGAACTTCCTCTTGATCGCGCCTGTACACACCATGTAACGGGAAAAGTTCGGCTTTGCTTTTCGTTGTGTTCCTGGAATGGAGGGTCATGTGATGTGTCTCACCCGAGGTCTGAAGACATGCGAAGATTCAGCAGTAGCATATGACCATTCAATGGACCCCATGGCGTTCATCCCATGAGGTGCAGACCTTGTGATCACAGCTTCTCTGGTTGATCGGTTTATCCCGTTATCAGTTATCGCCATGTCATCGCCCACATCGAGGTTGTCAACGAATCTGAATGCCATTGCAGCTTCTCCACAAAGTACTGCTGCAATCGCTCATTGGCCAAATTGATACAGAGCTGCTCGAAGGAGTTGCCTCAATTGGCACAACGGCGAGCAACAATCATCGAGGAATCGTTCTTGAAGCTTGTTTCAAACAAAGAACGAAATGGATAAGGTGTGATTCATCGCGATGGCAACTTAGAAGCATTCTGAGAGCAATAAAGGTCAACCCACAATGGTTGCACAATCGAATGGTCTGTTGCAGTTGGATTCTTCGACTTGTCTTCTACCTGACTGAAACTCCAAAGTGGCCTTTCTGTCAATCTACACACGAGGCATTTCCCCAAAAGCATTGTGCCTTCAGACAGGTTGGTTGAGTCGCGGACCAAAGAAAGAATGAGACGGTCCCCGGCGATGTCGAATCCCCAGGTGAAGCATTCTTTGTCGTCATGTTAGGAGTGGGATGGACGACAGCGGGCCTGCATTGGAAGTGATGTTGAAACTGTTTTTGTTGCATTATAGTTACTAGGACGCTACGAACGCGGCTCCTGGCATCGCTACGAACGGAGCAAGAACGCTACTAGTTACTAGGGGCTCCTGGCCGTACTACTAGGAGCGATCGGACGCCACGAGCGGAACAACAAGCTACTATAGTTACTAGTTACTAGCCCATCCCTTTCCGTGTCAGCGCTGCCGTGTCTGTCGTCGCGTCGGCGTTCCGCCGGGGCACGCTGCAGGCGCTCGAAGCCATAGATGTCCAAGATGCCGATCTGGTACCACTTTTCGTCCTCCCATGCCCATGCCCACCATACCCAAGAACCCTCCGGAAGCCCAAAACACCCAAAAAAAGAAAACATGCTGAGGATGAAGCTGGCCGCCAAACGCACAAAAGACTGGCCACCATGTGCCAACAGCCACTGGCCACCGTGATCCCTTGATTCTCTACCTCATCCATTCGGAAATCTCCTCCTCCGGCAGACGGCGCCATTCACCAAAGGAACCTTCAGAAAGGTCTGCAGTCGTGCTCATCCAACGAATCCCTTGTGGTCTTTGCTTCCAACCAAAGGCACGCAACACAAAACACCGCAAATGACTTCTGAACACCTTCGTTTAGCCACGTTGGCAAGTCTGGTGGGCGTTCAGTTCGCGGCATGGCCCATCTACTTACCGGGTGAGGAAACGTTTTTCACCTCATAGTTCATTGGTATAATTCTACATACGCTACATATTATAATTATTCATACTTGACAAAGGGTAGCAACTAGCTGTGGCCCCTCACATGCCTCTGGGATCAAAACCTTATATACATCTCCTGCATTCACTTCCCATAGATCAACATAGTCAAGGTCTTGAAACGATACTCTGCCCCGCCTTGATCTACCTTCTCTGAGGCCCGCACTGTTGATCCGCTGCACCAAGCGCTCGAAGAGACGCTTGTACAATGCTTTGATCAAGCTGTGCAAGGCATGGCGAAATTGCGACGTGGTCCGCGGCACCTGCGCGCATGGTTGCCAGGCGCCGAGCGTTGCCACGCATTCTGCGGCTTCTTCAGAGCTTGCAGGCACAGCAGCGAAAAGGGGATAGCTTTGTTGGTCTTCTGGGCCAAGTACATGATCGAACATCTGGAAAAACAAGGGCGCTCTTTCATGCGATTCTGTAACAGTCTTCCTTCATCTATCATACAGGCATCCTTGATCTTAGTGCTGCAATTGACCGCGTCAGGAAACTAGAGTTGATAGAGAAGAAATCCTACATTGCATACCAGGTGTTCCATCCCCAATTCATGTTGAGGATAAGGCAGTTATATCCCATTGACCTTTCAAAGCTTCGCTGGGTTGGTGCAATGCGCTTTCCATGGAGTCATCTGCTGATCCCAAGCAGGGTCGTTCGTTTAGCTAGAGGAAAGGTGACCAGGTGGATGGTCAACAAGAAGTCTTGTTCTGGAGGTTCAAGACTGGAAAAACTTCCTTCAGGAAAAAAAACAAAAACTCCACAACTTCTCTCACTTTTGCAAAAAGCACGGGATGAAATGAAGATCAACGGAAGGGTGTTCTGCACACTCAACAATCTCTACTGAACACCGACTGAGAAATAAGGTGTGGAAACGGTGCCTTTGACTGACTCGTGGTTGGTCATGTGCAAAGTCATTTTTCGAAGGAGATGTATACAGTATACAAATGGTCTCACAGAAGCACACCATTGAAACACAAGACCACCCAAAAAACAGAAGCTCTTTGAAAAGCCTTTGTTGGCCATCAGACGAGAAGACTTCAAGTACAGTATTACACCCATCCTGGAATAGATAGAAAATGAACAAACAGAGCCCAGGATTGTTCCCCTTTTCCCCATAATTCACTTTAGAATTATGACCCAAACCTGCAATGCAGCTCTGGGCAAGCTGCCCCTCCGTCCCAGACCGCCTCGTGGAGCGACTCCCGCCCCGCGTGCGTCACGCGCACGCGGCGCCGGCGCAGCGCTCCGCCCAGCTCGTCGGAGTCCATGCCCAGCAGGGCGGAGGCCTGCAGAAGCTCGGGTGTCGGTGACGAGTTTCGATCACAAGTCATGTCAAAAGGAGTCATGACCATCAGGAGACCAAAACCATCATGAAGGTAACCACGACCAACGACCATGGTTCAAATGACCGCATCTGCCCATAGGAATGAAAGAAAAGAACCAGGACCAGGACCATGGTTCAAACGGCACATCTGCTCGTTCATCAAACCAACGACAAGCCAATCAAACGACATGACATTCCAATCATTTCCAATCAAACCGAGCCAGACGCCTTTGGTGGACGCCATGCGTGGCATCCCTCCGAGCCAGACGCCTTGTTCAAGATCTCTTGGTCCAACTGCACTGTTGCCGCCTCGTCCCCTCGCCAGTGTGCAGGGCTCGGGTTTTTTTCGGTTCCACTGGGAAGACGAGAAGTGCAGTATTGCGGTGTGTAGAAGCGGTGTAGAAGCGAAGAAATGGATGAATCATTCTTTAATCATTCTTTATCCTGATGTATCATGTATCATGATACACACCTCTGCGTTTCACAGGTGCACACAGCAACCTCCAAGCGACAGCAACCAACAAGCGCCACGCTGTCGCGCACCTCTCCCCGGCGGCTCGGCCGTGAGCTCCACACGACGCGGGCGGCTGACGCGTGCCTTCGTCCTTCTCGCCGTTGGAGAGGTCGCCCAAGTGAACCAAACCCGCCAAGACCTGCCGTGTCTGACGCACGGGTCCGGAAAAGGAACTTCCCTGACCTTGGTGGTGCCAAAAAAGATCCAATGGATGGTCTTTGGACTCTGTAGGGAATATGGAAAGGACTCCCAAGTAAATGAGATTGAAGTTTCATCTTGTTTAGACCAGGAAAGGTTTTAGGGACTATATCTGCCTCAAGGAAACATCCAGCACCAGTCGGTGCCTGCAGGAGGATGGACAATCATTGGGTCGTTGTCAGGATTTCTTCCAAAAGGAAACCAAGAGTCATTGGAAGAAGAAGAAGAAGAGGAGAGGTGGTCAGTGAGTCAGGGCCCCTTCAAAAAGTCAGGGCCCTCTTTCGAGAAGCCGTAGCTTCGCTTCGCACTTCCCCGTCGCTTCGCACTTCCTTTCGCTCCGCCTGAAAGATCTTGTCGATCTCGTCCCCGCTGAATCCCACGGTCGAAAGGGCTCCGCACAGCTTGTGGAAAAGCTTCGCATCGCGGTCCTACGCGACTCAACCCGGCCGTGGCCAACCCGGCCGTGGCCGATCTGGGGGCGGTCTCAAAGAGTCCAAAAAAAAGAATTAGAAAGCAGTCGAAGTTAGCTATCTGAAGTTCTCGTTCGTACTTTGATTGGATTTGTTTCGGTGAAATAAAATGTCTCAAAAATGTCTCTACTTTGTTGAAGGTCATCCAAAACTCTACAAACTCAAGGAAAGGGAAGAGACTTTTTTGGAACCGAAGAGTTCTGCGGCAACAAACCCGCCCGAAGAGGTTGGTCCTGGAATTGTGAATGCCACTTCTGGTCGTCAGCAAGATCCTCCTGGCACGATGATCTGTGATGAGTTGGCACCCGGGAAAATAGACCCTTTAGAAAATGGAGCACGTGCTTGAGCAACCTCTAATCCAACCTAAGAATCCTTCTTTCTGATCAAGATACATCACCTTCCAGCAGCATCATCATCATCATCATCGCCATCAGGTGCCCGGTGCCGAAAGAAACACCCCGCCTGAGCATCACTGGCCAGGAGTAGGTAGAGCTTCTCTCGCTCGAGGTGCAGTTGCGAAAGCTTCTCATCCGGTAAGCCTCGCAACATCTCCTCAGCGATGTCGTCAGTCCGGTGGCTCTGCGCTGTGCAGTTGGCTCTGCACTTGGGCGCGGTAGTGACCCGGCTTGAATCATTTAGTAGACTCTCACAACCAAGGGACAGGGAAACAACAATATAAAACACCCAAGTGGGAAACAGATGGAATCTTCCAGCAGCGTGCTTGCACATCTTGCTCTTTGACAGATCCCATAGTCATTCCCACTGGAAAAGGTGCCATGAAAACAGAGTCCTGAAAGAACTTAGAGGTTGATCGTACACCAATCTATGTATGTGACTGATACATGTGTGTGTGTGTGACCCAAAAATGCTTGAAAGAGGACACTGTTCAAAAACTCTTGCGTAGGCGAGCTAATATCACCGGTTGTGACTGGTCAGATCGGAGACACAGGCCCCCCATGCGAGCCTCATCTCAAAAGTGGAAAGCAGCTTCTGGGAAACACAAGTCCAACTCCAATAGAATCATAAAAGCTCCGGACGAAAACTTTGAGAGCCAGTGAAAACTTCGACGCGCTAAACATCTTAGGATCTTGGTGAACTGCTTTCACCCACCTCCGAATCCTTTCCCTCACACTTCGTCTTGAAAAAAAAAACACCCAGCGGCATAGAAGCAGTGATAGGTGCGTTCGCGACGAGCATGGACCACGACCCTGGAGCTCTCCAGCAAGTAGGTCGTGACCTCGGATGACATGAAATCACTCGTGGCTTCCCAGCCCAGGGAGCTGGAGCCCAAATCTCGCAAGTGTTTGGAAAAAAAAAAAAAGAAAATATACCAGCGTAGACCCCAAACAGTTTGTGCGTTTATGAAGTAAGCCACAGAGACGGCCCGGGCACGCAACCGTTTCAAAGGAGTAAGAACCCCTCACAGGTAAACCTGTTTGGGGAACAAACACACAAACAAAATCCACCCCCCAAAAAGAGGGCGCAAGATCCCAATTCATGAGATGGTGAAGTGCATAGTTCTAGTTGGTTCATGTTCGTATAAATCCCCAGAGGTCCCTGGGGTAGCACAAAACACCACTTAAACACCACACCACAGCTTGTGCAATGAATTGCTGATTGCGGATTGTATATTTTAATCGGGATCTCCCCAACCAAAGGGGATGTTGGTCTTTCCGCACCTTCCGGGTCGGGGTCGCAACGGTGGCGCTTCGGTTTGGTCCGCCGAGCCGCTGAGGCATCCACCAGGATGCCGTGCTCATCGAAGAACACCCGATTGTACTTGCCAAAGCGTGACGAGTTGTTGTTCCTCGCGGCCCACGGAACTGCCGCCAGAGCGCTGCTCGACCGAGTTGAACAACGCCCGAGGATTCGCCGTGTAATCTACGAGCTGCCGGGGACTGGAAGAGAGGCCTACATGGACAGGCAAAACCACCCCATGGGGTGGGTAGGTGGGTATATATGCCATACGTAGAGTGTCTGGGATCTCTCAGTGAGTGTAAAAAGGTGTTGAATGAGATCTTTGATCGGTTGAAGGACGAAATCTTGCACCTGAGAGTTCGAACATCTCATATCACAACTACTAGCATTGCTAGGCAGATTCCAGTCCTCATCGTCACTGCATTGCCGAAGGATTCCAGGATCGGTTGTGCTTGCTCCACCCTCCTCTGAATTTGTTCCTCAGTTGGACAGGTTTAGGGCCGCCGGGCCCAGGTGCTGGCGCGGCCCAGCTCGGACCTTCTGAAGCGAAGGCCGCACTCGCAACTACAGCTCAGCAGGCCGAGGGGCGGTCTTTTGGTTGCATGAGCCTGAGACATAGCCCAAATATTCCATGACCTCAGCCCAAAATATGTCCGGCTGCCTCTGGCTTCTAGCTTTGCAGTCAAAAAAAATGTTCTCCCAACTGATCAAGCTAATTAAAGCCTGTTCAACAGGGCCACATCCTGACAAATCAAGAACCCCCATGCTTTTGGACCGACTCCGGCGCCGTCAGACTCCGCCGTCCCAGGCGCAATCTTCGCCGTCTCGGTCTTCCCGGCACCGCTCTCCCCCGAGATGATGAAGCCCTGGTTCTTCCGATCCCGGACCTCACGGAACGGAGCTGAGCCGGGCGGCGTTTTTTCTGGGAGCCCCACTTACGCACGGAGCCGGGCCCATCCGTGCAACAAATCATGGTGATGAGTGAATGGGATGGGATGGGATGGCATCACCTGTTTTTGGTATTCGGGTTTCAATGATTTCATGGTAATCCAATTGCTTCAGGGGTTCAGGATCCTGCTATGGAGGCTGTGGAGACAGTGAGAGTTGCCTCAGCCATGGCATGTCATAGAGATACGCAGCCATGACACCAGCGCTCGGTATGCAGTGTCGGCAATCGCATAAGGATGCGGAGGTAGTGCTCCGATGTGTTTGCCACGATATCTGAGACACTGGGATTCACCATAAAGCCTCATTGCGATGGATGCAGTGGCATCGCTACTAGGAGCAAGAAGCTACTAGTATCTCCTGGCCGTTCTACTAGTAGCAAGAAGCTGCTAGTAACAAGGACATTACTACTAGTAGCAAGAAGCTACTAGTGAGGCCCCTCATGTTTTCGTTTTTTTTTGTCCTTGGTTCATGTCTTTGAGGCCCTGGCCCTGTCACGTCTTTGTAAGGGTTCACAGCCAGTAGTACCTGAGGAGACATGGACGTCCTGACGCGAAACAGGTCCGGTCCGTCGGGTCCGTCGGGTCTCGACGAGTCCGGTCGTGTCAGAAGAAGGTGGTTGGGTCCCAATAGAAACGAAGGCTGTGCGGCTGTGCTTTTTTTAACCCTATTTAACCCTTCTTTCTAACAGCACAGCTTGTGAAAACTAGTGGAAACCGTTTAGCTTCTGAACCGTTTCTGGGGTATATGTTCAGGCTCTGATTTGGTGTTGAACAGGTGCAGCTTGAACAGGTGCAGCCAGGCTCTTTCTAACCGTTCAATAGTGCCCGCCCGCAGAAGCTCAGGGGGAAGTTGACGCCGACCCACAAAGAACGGTGTCGCTTCGACGTCACGGTGTCGGTTCGATGCAACGACAGGATGCACTGGCAGTGTAGGTGTAAATCTCATCGACCTCAGCTGTGGCTCTTCCTGAACTTCTCAACTCGTTTTGGTCAAAAAGCTTTAAATAAAGGACCAAACTGTGCGGGTTGACCTCTCAACTTCTGACTTCGGGACGGCTGAACCCGGCCTCATGACGTGCTTTCAAGTTCTCAAGGATCGTGGCATCGTTCAAGTGCACCAAGGAGGTGTTGTCGCTGCCTGTCAGCCACCGAGGCAACCCCGGGCCATTCCGACAGGGCGCGTTCCGCGCGCGTGCATGGAACGACCGAAAAAATGGTGTTCTCGACGGCGAGAGTAGAACTCGCCCCGCGCAACGGTTCCTCCACGAACTGAACAAACACACTTCGACTGGTCTCGCCCCCCCACCCCGGACTGGTCTGGCGTTCGTGGCGCACAGAGTTCAACTCCAAGGCACACGTGGCGCCGTCGTCGCGGATGAACCTGCGACGGAGATCTCCCAGTGGGATCGTCTGCAGGTCATCGGCCACTTGGACCACCTCGGGCGACGAACCGCCAACGGCGCACGGCTTCGTTGCAGTGTCAACGAAGCGCAGGAGGTGTTTTCCGCAACAGGAAACCTACCATGAATTTGGGGAGGGAAAATGGTGTCGAAAACAGGCTTTGGCAGGGTCAAACGGTCATGGAGGAGTGATTGCTGGAGAAGAGTCGAGTGTTCATGGCCGCTGATGACAACAAACATGAACTTCAAAACTGCATTAATTGAGGGAAGGGTAAGTCAGTTTTGGGCATAATTAAAACACCGGTTTTGACCTCAACATTCACTGTTGCCAGCAAGGGGTCAAACTGGTTTTCAGCAGGTGCTGGCTGCGGGAACCCTCGTACCTTTTCGGGGACCTCAAAAGGGCACGACTCTTCTCGCCAGTTCGCCTACGACTCCTCTCGCCTATCATCACCACCAAGTTGTACTTTTTTCTCTTCACGAACTACCAACAAGCCTTGCCACTACCAGTCAATCTAATTATATATATATACATATTTGCCTTGACCAACCCCCTCCACAACTGCAAGCAGCATCGTCATCAACATCATCAACAACAACTGCCTCATCATCACCCAAAAATCAACTTCTATCGAAGCTGCTGCGTCCTCAGCCCGGACTTCCACCACCACACCCGGCGTGAAGGGCACTTCCTGCAGGAGGTGCCAGAAAGGTGAGGTCGGTCATGGTTCTTTCGGTGGCTGAGATCCATTCCAAAACCCGGTGTCGACTCGGGATGTGGGACAAGAAGCTACTAGTAACAAGGGCATCGCTACTAGTAGCAAGAAGCTACTAGGTGGAGGCCATCGCTACCAGGGTGGGACACATCTTCTCGTTCTTCACCAGGCAAACATCGCGCCTTTTCACATGGCGCGTAGACCAAGTCTTGCACCTGGCGATTTCGCGGCGGTTTCACCATGTGTTTTCGGTGTATTATATTGAATATTAATAGGGAGGAGACACCCTGGCCCCTTTTAGGGGGTTTTCCTAGTCGATGTTCCGTTTCTCCTTCCCCAGAAGGGTTCGGAACAGCGTCCCGGAGGTCTCCCACCGAGCCCTTTGAAGTAAATCCCACCCGCCTTGAAGTCGGACGCACCCGGCATAGTACCCTTAGCTGCACGTGTTTCCAGCAAGCAGTGCTGCACGTGCGTTCACGTTTTGTCACCTCTGAAATCACGGTGTTCGGGTGCTGTTTTGCCAAGGCACTGCAGCAAAAATGGACATGCGCCCCTCAAAAAGGATATCTCGAAAACGACTCATCTTGCGGTCAGAAAAGGGAGGCCGGAGCACACATGGAAAGGCTTTTTAGTGGTTTTAGAGTGCCAACATGATCAGAGAAGAACTCTGACGAGAGGATCAATCCGTCGGACTTGCACCCTCCGCTGCTGGCTGTTGGAAGCCGTGGCAGGAGCAAGTGGCTGCGACGTCTTTGCGGATCCTGGTGATAGATTTGTTCCGCAGAATCACCAGGAGCCAAAGGGGGGACTTCGGCACAGACTCACAGCAAACCGGCCAAGACCACGTGCATCAGTGGGTGGGTGTGATGTTTTGGGGATTGTGACAGTGACCTTTTCTGTATATGGGACGCAAAACAAAGACCAAAAACCCAAATGCGGAAGACACACGCCGACTTGCCAACAGTGCCAAGAGTCGTAGTTCCTCGTGTGCATCTTTGAGACTTCGGAAGCTCTGAGCCAAACCGAGGGCATGCGCTGAATGGATATCCACTCCAGTCGCCCAGTGGTAGGAACTCTAGGCCAAGACCTCCACGCTGTTTGAACTTATCATCTCCGCACAACTTCTCTTTTCCGCTGTGACCTGGAGACTGCGTCTGCCATGATCTGGGTGTTGCAGATCCCAAACAGCCGGGCTTTGTTGCACGATGCAGTCAACATTGTGGTCCCCCTTCGATGGCAAGTGACCACTGAGCATTACAGTCATTGTGAACCATCGCATGAAAGTAGCCATGGATACTTTCTGAAAACAAACTATCCCAAGTCCTGAGCCTATTAGCCCATTAATGCCCTTTATAAATACATGTATCATCATGTATGAAGCTTGTTTAGCTTGCTGCAAAGCTCCAGAGCCGCGAGCCACAGCGGCTGCCGAAAAAAACTGCCTGGCTGAAGCTAGCCTTGAATTGATGCAGCTGAGAGCACTTCCGGTCTCCCTGCCGGACAGATGCGCCAGTCCTATCTCCACGGCATCTGGGAAACGTTGCCGCGAGCTGGACTGAATTGTTTTGCCAGTTTAAGAATCATGCCGAGTTCTCTCATGGGATTCTACTTTCTTCAGCAAATGTTCTGCTAGGTAAGGCAGGTTGTTCTTCTAGAGGGAAGATCATTGGCCGGAGAAATCAAGAACAACGAAATCATCCTCTTGAGCGTGTCTACTGTCATGAGGTGTGTCAGATCTTCTGAACAGATTCCTTCACTTCATCGAGTTCTATATGCTTTGGAGCCGTTTCAGCTTGCAACTTTGAGCTCCAAAAACGGCTCCACATCGCTCGTCCAGGCGAGCACGTCGCCGTACCACACGGGTATAACGCGCTGGGAACGCCCGAGTCCGGGGGTCCTCAGACTCACCTGGCACGATTGGCGGGTCCGGTGGTCGGCAGCGACCGACGCGTCGTGCGGCGGTGGAGGTGGAGAGGAACAGGTTGGTTGGGCCTTTGAAGGTCACCTCACCTCGTAGTTGGCAGATTCGAACTGCCCACAACCATCCTACCATCCCGAAGTGGAGAAGTGTCCTGCACCTGACGTTTGATGACAAAACGATAGCATTTCGAGATAGATAAACCATACCAGCTGTCACGACATCTTCTTGGGAGTCATTCCGGTCGACGTCGAGGTCAGGATCACGGCATCCGGCTGCAATGATGCCAGGACACATGTAGTTCTGGCCCTCCTGATAGGTCGAAGGCCCCGGGTCGAAACCAGCACGAGTTCGGAGAGTGGAGAGAACGAGAGCCACCGAACGTGGAACAATCCTAGTGGAAGCAAGGTTCCCAAGCTCTTACCAAAAGCCTGCGGTGCCTGGAAACTTGTCAGAAGGACCTACTGTACCGACAAAAACAAACATGATAAAAAGAACGAGGCTTGTTTGAGTGGCAAGATAGACCTTGAGCCGTTTTTTTGACTATACAACTCTCAACTCCAAAATTCCATCCCACAGACTGGAATTCAAACCCCAAATGGTCAGATTCAAGACAGTTGGGTCTCCTTGAAAAGTGCTCTTCGCTGTTGGGCCCACCACTGGCGTTGCAGTTGTAGCTCCTCGTCCTTGACCTGGAAGCGGTGACGGAAGCAGTGACGGAAGCAGTGACTGACCGGTGGCCCATGGGGGCCTGTGGCCTACGTGAGTTGTTCTATCTAATGTAGACTCTTGATGAATCACCCCCCCCAGACCCCAGACACTGGCGACATGAATTGAGAAACCTCCTCAGGGCGCTCTGGCTTGATGATGTAGGCGAGTTCACAGTCTTCAGTGAGGTGAACAGCGTTGCCTTCAGACCCCAATACTTAGGCCCCATATGAGACAATGGTCCAAAGGAAGGTCATGTGGACGATTTAAGGCAATGCCCCTTTGAAGGTGCTTTGAAGGTGTCTCTTTACTGCGGCGTGGTCACGGGAGTGCCAGGGCTTCTGGATTTTGAGCCATCAATCCTTAGCTGAGATCAGTCGCCACCATCTCAAAAATTAGTCCAAACCGTAAAATGGTGCTCAAAACGCTCAATCAAGATGCGTTGCTGGCAAGTGGCTGTGTGCATTTCTTGAATGTTTTGATGCACCGGTTTTTTTCTTCGGTCCTGCAATCAGGGACATACCAAAGACCATGACCTACCTGTCTGCTCTGCATCACAGCGCACATACCCACGTTCGACCGTGCGAGCCTGGTTTCTGAAGCAAACACCCCCGCCACGTTCGACCATGGACATGTCTTCCAGAAGCTGCCATTGTGTTGGAAGCCCCAAAGCTCTTCCCCCAAAAAAGTCCCCCCTTTTCGATCCTTTTCTCTGAACTATTAGCCATCGATGGAAAGAAGCAGCGCCTGGGACTCGGCGGTGAAAGTCTGCTTGGAGTGGATGTCTTTTGCAGATCTTCCATGATAAACGCACCTGACAGAACCCACGCTGGGAGCCATGTGAGACCTGCCGAAGATGTGAGACCGGCCGGAAGCACGCCCGAACCCACGGCCGATCAAAGACTGAAAAGCTGATGCTTTTTGAAGCATTGCGTTTGAAGCAAGAAATCCCTTAATAGCCTCCAACCCAATAGCGATGGCCTCCAACCTACTAGCGACGGCCTCCAACCTGAAAACTGATGCAAGCCAAGTAACGCTGCTCTTGCCAGTTTTGTCTATCATCCACGAGGATGCTGTGGCGCCTTTTCTCCTTGAGAGCAGTCAAGGAGTCATCCACTGGAAATAAGGCAGAAAACCTGGAAATCAAACTCGATTTGAAAGAGGGATGCAAATTCATCTCCCCATACACACGTCACGGCATCTCGTGCCCACCCAAAAGCTAGCGGCGGCTGTTGTCACGATTAAAACAACAAAAGCTAGCTGCGGCTCAACAAGTGCAATGCAAAAACTATACATCAAAATATCAACCCTTCAAGAATGTCTCTCTCCCACCTGCATAGATGAGCACTGGCCAAAAAAGGCCCATCTCCTAAGACCCCTGCCGGATCTCCGGATCTTCAGGATTCTTCCTGATTCATCCATCTTCTATACAACTATAGTATGTATACTGTGGTGATCCTCATCTACAAGCCACCCGCCCCACACCAATCATCCTCCCCCACCGCATGCGGCCTGCCTGGTACACGCTGGAGGGCGTGTGGGCGGCGCGCCCCACCGAGGGTCGATGCTGGAGGCTTTCCGGTGACATGGGCGCCAGCGCCAGCGCCAGCTGCCCCTGTCGGACAATGCCGTCTGTGAAGCAGTTCTTCGGCGGGGTGGAACTCGAGTGGAGTCAGGCACCGGAAGAACAGCTGGGGCAAATACGTATGATGAAACAAGGCCTTTACTCCACTTAGTTCATTTTGGGAGGTTTTTGGCCTTGCTCATGTCTTGAGGGGGATGGAGAGAGGGAACATCGATCATCATCGATCTCCTTGCTGGTCCTGCAGTCCTCAGTTTCCTCTGAAGCCCTGGAGCTCCGAGTGAAACCGCAAAGGCAGGAAGATATGATGAAATGCTCCAAAGCAAATTCGGGATAGTCTGAAACCACGTCCATGCCTGGGGTTGGTAACTCGAATTGAGCCTGCTCTCCATCCTCATCAAAGCTAAAAAACGGGCAAAAACCAGCAGCTGTCTCTTTTGGGATGGAAACTTTGCCATATGCTGTTTTCCTTTGGAACGTCCTCTAGATGCAGTGTGGTGTTCATCTCCAGGGATTGTGCAAATGAAAGTTGGAGTGCCGTCTTGCAACTGAGTTAGTGGCATTTCATGGCGCTTCAGCAAATCGTTCATGTCATTCTGAATCTCTGTCTGCCTGTCCACATCAAAATTCCAGCTGAACGGCAGGCCGTGCAGGCTGTGCTTACCCAAACAAGCCCAACGAGGCAATGCCACACATGCGTGACGTGGACATCACAAGACAGGGAATCTACTGCAGCGTCCGCATGAGCACGGCAACTAGAAAGCATCTCTGATACAGGTGTTCATGTGTGTGTGTGTGTGTCAAACCCTGTTCCTAAGGGCTTTCCACTTCTGATTTGTTTTCACGCAGGGGGGCAATGCACGACTGACAGACATTGCCCAACGAAGACGCGCTGTCAGATCGTGGTGAAGGAATGCGGGACGCCGCATTGTGTACCTGCTCAATGAACTTTTGCACACGCTGTCCACTCCTTTGGTTTGTTTCATGGTGTTTCATGTGATCCTTCCCCGAAACAGGTTTCCCACCGCAGTTTTCCACCGCTCGTGAGCCACCGCTGAGTCACTGCAGATGCGCATTAACAATTGTTCAACAATACTTTTCCGCTGACTCTGCCACCTTTCCATTCCCTAGCCATTTTCCTGGGAATTGAGTTAACTGAAAACCAATGTCAGAGTGTGTCTGTGTGCATCAAAGCAAAGCATGGGGTAAACTTGTGGGGGAGCCTCTCGCGCCAGTTTTGAAAAGGCATCCAATCAAAGGCGAACGACCCATGCTTTCCGAACACGCGTTAGTTTGTTTGGGGCGAAACAGAGAAGAACAGACGCAAGATAGACCGCATGGGAACAGTCGTGTATGGCAAAGGTCGTGTATGGCAAAGGTCGAGTCCGACGTCCCTAGGATTCGGTCGTGTTTGGGCGAAGAGTCCCGAAAGCACCGGGGGGCTTCGCGCGCGCGGTCGCGCGGTTCGCGGTGGGTTCCGTCTGTGGGTGTCCCGACTTCTTCTGCATCTCCGTCTCCACCTGCTTGCACCGGAGGGCCAAAAAGTCGATCAAGTTCTGTCCTCGGTCGGTGCGCTGAGCGCCGCCCCTGCGGTCGGCACCAGCGCACATTACAGCAGAGTATGGTCTTGGCACCTCTCCGTCTAAGCGTCTAAACTTCTTCAGGAGCTCCCAATGAGTCTCCCAATGAATTAAGCCAAGAAACACCACAAATACTGAAACAAACTGAAAACACTCACATCACTTTGCCATGATTGTCTCACCTGTCACACCTCACACGACCCGGGACAGACCCGGGACAGACCACCTCTGGCGCGTCGAGAATCGAGAGTTCAAGTCCGGCGAGATGTTGGACCAGCCATCCTGACAGGTTGGAGGCCATCGCGGCCATAGGTTGGAGGCCATTCCTAGTAGGTTGGAGGCGATTCGTGACCTTGAGAAGCACTACTCAGTGCACTTCTCCAACCATGGGTTGTCTCTTCATACACACCCAACCCATCGTTGGCTGGTCATGGACTTCTTATGGGATCTTTTGGTGACACCCGCGTCGAAAGTGTGTCTAACCCGCGGTGTGAAACCCGCGGGTTAGAAGGTGTTCCCATGTCCTTCCAACTGGTCATCCTGCAACTTTGTACCCACGAAGTCCCACAACAAAAATGCATGGTTGGCATTCTTTCTCCCTGACTCCTTCTCTTTCTTCAGAGCAAAAGAGCTTTCAAACCGTCGGCTTCGCCCAACACGTGGACGCACCAGCAAGGACGCGCGCAAAACGTGTGGGGCACCAAAAGCGGGGAGGATGTACGCACCTCAGTCACCTCAGGCTCACCAGGCAGGTGCCTGGCGATGATTCTGCTTGTAGCTGGTTCACAGTCAACCGGTGACCGGTGAATCAACAGTCAACGTCACATTCAACCGGTGACCGGCTGTTCCACTGCTTGGATGTCCAATGCTGTGATTTATATATATATATATATTCATCAGCGCAGTCAAACTCAGTTGAAACTCCTGTAAGTTCACAGCGTTTCTGAGACCTTTTTCCCTCAAAGCTTTCCCTGGATGCGGTACTCTAGTGCCAGCCGTCTGCGGCGCTTGCGAACCTCAAATGCTCGAATGAGGTTGAAGCAAGGCCAGTGTTTCTGTAGCAGGTGTGGCAGTGCATACATGGTTCGTGACATATTCATGACCCAACACCGGTCTGACTCAATTTGCTCAACGGACACTAGGCCAAGTTAGGCCGAGTGAAGGTCTTTGGAGTCCCCCAGTGGAGTTCAACCGATGTCAGCGATGGCCTCCAACCTACTGGCCACGTGCCACAGAAGCCAAAGTAGACAAGTGTTGAGTCAAGTAGCTGGCAAATGTGAGAAGGTTCGGCAAAAACAGTGAACAGTGTCTAAAGTCTAAAGAGCTCTCAAATATCATAAAAGTCAGAAAGCAAAGCAAATCCTTTCTGAAGTGAGTTCTAAGGATCCAGTCTCCCAACATACAAACCTCGTGCACCGGGTCCAGACCAGCTCCACCCAGCTTAGCTTGACAAGCTGCGGAGTAGGCGCTACCCAGGTCAAAGGCATCCACCAGTTCTACTTCGTTCCTGAGCAGGAGGATGGGCGAGGATGGCCGTTCACCTATCACAGAACGTGGCTGGGTCCAGGTTAACTGTCACGTGCAGGATCCAAGTAGTCAAACTCAGGTTGTTGCCCGTAGATGCTGGGATTTTGGCGTGAACTCACCCCTGATGGAGTCGGTTATATACCTCATCTCCATCTTGGTCATGTGCACCAGAATTCATGTTCACTTGAGTTTTGGAATGACATCCCATATCACGTGGTGGACAAGAAGATCAGAACCAAGACCAACAAACCTCTGGTGTGGCTCTTTCTGCGTGTTGTCCTGGATTGGAAATCATCTTTCAATCGTTCTTCCGCAAAGAACATGAGGATTTACTTGTTGATGAGACCAATCAAAACAGTCACGCCTTCCCCCTGCTTTCATGGCAGGCACAGCCTCTATTGTGCCTTCGATGGGAATTCCTCCATCTACCACACCACGATGTACATCAACACCCACCTGCAATGACCACACGAATCTTGAGCTAATCCACTGAACGCTGGCTCGCCCAACAACGAAGGAACACCCCATGTGATCAAACAAAAAAAACCGATGGGCTGAAGGAGTTCATCCTCTCCAAACATGACTATGCATTGTGTGATTGTTCCTCTCCCGGTTCTCCCCGGGAGACCCGCGGAGACCGTCGTTCTCGTCGTTCACCCCCCCCTCCCCCCCCCCCTTCTCTCGATCCCAAAGTTCCACATCTCAAACTCTGGGGAGAGGACGCTCAAACCTGGGCGCATTCCGCTGAAGCCCGGAACCAGCGGATGTGTGGACATGCGGGCGCGCGAGTGTGGGTCTGGGTCAGGCTGGTGAGGAAAAAGGAACGTTTGGTAAAATATGATGAAGTTCAGGTAAGCACGGTTTTGGCGCATCTGAGTTATGGTTCAAACAGTGTGGATGATATGATCAAGGCTACAACTTCAGGTCATCCTTTCGAAAGCGCCTGATCCAACAAATGGACGTCCCAGTCGGAGCTCCGTTTAGCACACCGATTCTAGGGACATCAGACGGTGCACGGGGCCCCTACCTCTGGTCGTTCCGTCCAAACGAGAAAACGACGGGACTCGACTCCTCAGTCACTGCGCAAGAACACCATCAGACTGTGCAGTACTCTTAGACCATCAGTACTCCACAGCTGAGAGGCTCAAAAGTCGACACCCAATAGACAACTGCGTCACGGGTGCGCGTTCCACAGGCCTCAGGCACAGAACAAGGAAGAAGCGACTGATGATTCACAACCCCGCCGAGTCGGATTGTAAAACCTTTTCATTCAGATTCATCCAGTGGGCGCGTTTATTGATCAACAGCATTGTTGGAGATGTAAACCTGTTTCCTACATGGCTTCTTTTACCCGCATAGATGTTGTGAGGGTTCCTGAATACTGACGAATCTGAAGCTCCATGAATGGATGCCTCGCCCAGGTCTACGAGACCTTGCTTTCCTGCAACATCGGATGCGACATGAACCGGCACCGGAAAAAGAAAGAACATGGCGCAGCTGGCACGAAATCATCTGATGATGCTCTTCGTCCTTGTTCCAAGTAGAAAACCAACTGAATTCCGTGCTGGCGCTGAATTGCCGAAGCCCAGTCCATCAAAGTCGGGGCCGAAATCTGCCAACGCCGATCTCGCGTCCCAACTCAATCCGTCTCCGGCCGAGACGCTGGCACACAGCCTCGCCCGTGCTCATGTTGTAGTGGGCCAAACCTTGCGTTTGGAACGTCAGCCGAAGTAGCCACAAACCATATGACCCATGCTGTAGCGGACGGAACTAGGTCTACCGCGGTGTTTCTACTTGTCCTTGGACTGACACGATCTGCTGTCTGAGGAGTCTGAAGCTGCCAATGACGCGATTGGATCGTCCAAGTCATGAAAGTCTTACATGACAAGCAGCTATAACTTGCATAGTATGCGACCGTGGCCCGTCTCGCTGCAGCCAAGACCTTTGCATCCCGCGCATTGAAGTCTCCCTTGAGGAAGGTCACCTGCTCGAGTGTTGACTGAATATGCACACCCAAACAAACTACATAGGCAGGAAAAAAAAATCAGAAACTGGCAGGACACCCTGTGGAAGGGATGTGCTCAATTTGGGGAAAAGGATGAACATGGAGAAGCAGAAATGGGCCCCTGGACACACTGTTCATCTAGAAACCACTGGTTTGGACATCCGAATCTATCTTTGCCTGCGGGGCTGCAAACACTCGCAAGAAGCAGCAAGGTGCGATTTGACACAAGTTTCATGGTGCAAATCTGTCACATTTATAGGTATCACACACAAAAAACGCCGATGAACGACCATTTGCTCAGCTATACTTCAGCCCACCCACGGCAATACCATAGGCCACAATCCGCAGTGATAACTCGGTGTTTAATATCGCTCCTTTGCATCCGTCCATATCACACAACCCCTCATGTGTAGCTCGCCACCCCCCCCCGCACCACCGGACCCACACACCCGCGACTCGCGCGTCGCCTTGTGGGCCGCCTCGGGCGCCAGCTGCGCGAAGCGCCGCAGGGCGCGCTGCGCCTCGGCGTAGCGAAGCTCGGAGATCTCCACACCGATCACCTCCCTGGCCTCATCGCGCGGTGTGCGGTGCGAACGAGATCGTTTGGGGCGACCAAAAAGCATCCGTTGGGTGTCAAAGAGCATCGGTGGTGGCTGAGCTAAGCTATTGAAGTTCCTGTAGATTGGATCGTGGATCTTAGGACTGGCAGTTGGACCTGTATTCTGAGAGTTGGAGGACTGTCAGACCTTAGTAGGTGCTCCATCATTACTCAGACAACACTCCTCAAGAATGGCTCTCTAGCGCTCTTGATCCACAGCCATAGGGCCATAGTCTTGTGTTTGGCCCCAAAGCCATTTCCAGGATTCTTGGATACCTGGATACCTGCAACGTCCAAAGTGGCCACAACCAATCAAAACCTGTCAACCCCACCTGCGACCCCGCTAACCCGGTGCCCGAATCAGCCCGAGCCACTGGAGAGAGGCGAGCGGCCAAGAGGACAAAGGCGCCAGTGCTGCAACCCAGGTCCAGAAACACATCCTCAGGCCGTAGCTGCCTGGAGTGGTGCTTTTCAGGAAGAGAACAAGGGAAACAACCGGACCAAGAAGATTCTTCGCTCACATCTCCCAAAGGAACCCGTGCCCGCCAACTCGGGACCTCCAACTCCCGCCCAAAAAGATATCCCGGCGAGAGACCCCAAACAGTTTGTCTAGAGGTCTAAGGTCTAGAGGTGGCAGAAGGTCTGAAGATCTAGATATATTTATTATATTGGGTCCCAGAGGGAGGTGATGGTGGTGGTGACGGCGACGGTGGCGGTGGTGACGGTGGCGGTGGCTGCGCGTGCCACGAAGCCTGCACTTCTGCAAGCAAGCCACATGTCCAAAAGTCGCGATTCACTTCACCTGCCACGAAGTCAGAGCGCCCCCATCTCCAAAGCACTGCGCCTGCCGCGAAATCTGCACATCGAAGCAAAGCCGCTCCAATCTCCTGCACCTGCCAGCAAAAGTCGACCTTGGACCACCAAAATATGAGGTTTCCCTTTGCGTCTGCCACATAAAGTGAAATCCAAAAATGTGTACACCAAAAACTGCGCAGTCGAAATGCACTTCGAAGATCTCGAGGTGAATGAATGTACCGTAAATAGCAGCTGCACACGGGGAGATTCTCCGATCAGACACCCGGCCTTAACTACTACCATTACTACCGTAAGAACCCCCAGGCCCTAGTGTGGCCACAGTGTTTGGGGAATTAAAGCCCCGAGTCTCTGTTGCTTTGCTGGCGAAAGGTTTTTCTAAAGTGCAGTGCTTGAAATCTGCCAGTTTGGAGAAAACTGGTTTCTTGAGGAATCCACCCAGTTTCAAATGTCCAGACCTCCCACACCCTCATTTCCTGCCGCTGAAGTGCAAGGAGGACAAGAATCGTGCACCGATCTCCGGCCTGGAGTCAAGAAAAATGACAAAGAAACATCTACCCTGGGAGTCCAGTCGATCTGATGGTGAAAGATCTTGTGGTGAAGATCTGGTGGTGAGTGGTGTGACGGCCTGGTGGTTCTCTTTTGAGGGCGAACTCTCATCCAAGACACTCCAGCTGCCATCCATTTGAATGTGCTTTGGCCATGTTGAAGGAGACCTCGCGCTTGAGAACCCCACATAACTGTCCCAATCAACCCCCTACCCTACAGTCTGCTACTGAGCTTACAACTTGGCACATCTTCCTTTAATCTAGTTCCGTCGAGTTTGTTAAGTCGTCCCCAAGCATGGTTGATGGGTTTCACCGTGAAATGTTGCCCCCCAATGTCGACCACCTGGTTAAGCATCCCGATGCATCCAACGCCTTCTTCGCCCTCAAAACATAAAAAACATAAAACACTTCTCAGCCGCTTCGCCGCTTCGCCGCTTCGCCGCGTCGCGTCAACCGCGAAGCGGACCTTCCGCCCCTCCAGCGGACCTCTTCTTGTCGATGGCGCGTCTCGGGCTCGACGATGTCATAGAAGGTGAGGCGATCCACGCCAGCCATCTTCAGGTCGTTGATCCTTGGATTGTCAGGTCGTTGATCCTTGCAACCACACGGGAAACCATTGCCTGTGGAGTTCGTTGATGTTCTTTGTAAGAGTCTAAGGGCCCTATAGGCTTCGTCACTGCACTTGAGGAGTGTCTTGGAGCGGCTTTGGGGTCTTTTAGGGGATTTCTGTTGTTTTCTCCATCCTTCCTGATCTCTCAGCACCTGCACTTGCTGGACCTTTCCGAACGTCCGCTCCTTTCCTCCCCAGCACTGCCCCAGCGTCCCCCGCCGCATGGCCACTGTCATCGCCTCCAGCGGCTTTGCATGCAGCGCGGCCGGGCGGCCGTCCGCCAGCCGTGGCAGCACCGCAGCGCGCGCAGCGCCCTCCCTGGACCTCGGTGGGTTGGTCGTGTCTTTTTGGGGGAAAGGAGGTGAAGAACGTCCTTTTTTGCAGCTAGGCTTTTTTGTAAATGGAGGAAGAGGAACTGAAGATGTCTCTGGAAGAGGAACGGTAGGCTCTCATGCTTTTGAGGAAGATTTCATGAGATTGCCCTGTTAAAAGCGGAACGAGGATGAAGGAGCTGTGTCATGGACGTTGGGCTCGGAGGGCTTGGGAGCTTAGCATCTATGTTGAGGCACACAAAGACACCACTCAGCCCAAGAAGCATGAATCAAACGCAATTTTGGTTCCAAGATCATGAGAAATTGCCTCGAATGTTTCAAGAAAGTCCCTTTGACGACCTGGAAGGAGAACAAGTCAGTCTCTTGACCCTGTGCAAAGCTAACATCGTTCCGGCACCGGGTCAAGGGATTGAAGATCTCAATATCTCAATATCCGCGATCCCAAAGGCAAAGTCTTCAGGACACTTGGGCGTTCATTTTGTATAATCAGGGAGACACCCAACCAATGATTTTGGTCTATGTGTCCTTCTTTGAGAGGGTCTTACTTATATACTGGGAGGTTGACTTGATCTGCGCGCGCACTTGACTCACCGCCCGGTCACCACGGCACGAAGATCGCCAGCACGGCCAGGTTCAGTGCGAGGAATGCCGGAATCCGACGGATGCTCATCCATGTGTTCGGAACATCCCCCCAACACCAACGGAGCTCGTGGCGCAAGTGGGGGCGAGATGCCCGAATCCGTGCTGGCCTTTGTTGAACCAAAAAACTTGATGTGTGTGTGTGTGTGTTCGTGTTGGCAAGGATTCTCCAATTTGTTTGTCTGTTTCCCGGACTCTGCAAATGGTCTCTTACTTTTTAAACTTTTGGCATGTGTGTGGAAACGAATTGATTCGGCATTGCAGGCATGCGAATCTGCAGGTATGCTTGAATTGGCCCAGCATCAGCACCAGTCATGTTCCACACTTGTTGATGCAACATTGCTGTGACTGGTGACGCTCTGCAAATCAATCCGGAACGTTCAACAACACAACCCAGAACCTCTCATAAGTTCTTCTTCTAATTCCGACACAAGTGAGAACCACTTGGGCTGTTGCATCACGTGTATTTGGTGAGGTCATTGGGGACATCTTCACACCAAATTGATATCAAACAGGACCTCACCCTGGCCTCTGTGAACTGCGACATGGAGAGGGCACATCCTTGATGGACGGCCGCCTCTCCTGCCGGCAAGAACCGCAACATGTCGTTCTCCCCACTGAACCGCCTCTCCTCTCGATCCTTTTTTTTGGAAAGCTGATACATCAGCTTAGTGATGTGGCATTTGCTCTGTTGAACTTTCTAATGTGTTGAAACGTCCAATGTCCAACTCAAAGCTGCTCTGGTTCTTGCAAACCCTCCAGGACCGTACAGCAGGCCTTCTCTTCAGACTGCCTAAACTTGCTCTCCTGTGCAGGCACGAGCGAAAACAGCAGACGTCCCTTGTGTGTCCAAACTCTGTTGGGCCATCGCCACAGCTCTCTTCGTCGGAGAACATCGACACCGCACATCATCGCGTGTTATCCCAGGGAAAACCAATGGCACAAAGCTGTGGAAACCGAGGTCCCGCCGTTTCAGACGCTGGCTTCTAGGGGGAAGACCGAGGTCCCGCCGTCTACCGACCCCCCCCTGGGTTCGGTGGAGATAGACCAGACAACACCGTAGCGTGGGGTAGGCGGGTATCTCTATTGAAGTACACACCCACATGTGTCTTCTTTTTTTCGCGGGGGTGTTATGAACCATGCTGACCATCATGACAGGGTCTTTCTTTTTAACATGTTGCTAACCACGGGCACGGACTGGATGATGTTTCAAAGAATAAAGGAGAACTGACATGTTCTCTCATCAAATCTGGACTATCCAGCCATCCTAAACATCCTAAACACGCAATGCCTCATCATCTGATAGCTGGACTCCAAGACCCGAACAGCTTCGGGCGGAGCTTCGGCCTCGTCCGGAATCGGCTCGAACTCGGCCTGAGAAGCAAACAAACGAGACGGTGACACAAACACTTGTCAGACTGTAACTGAGCCCGCAAAACCATGTAGACCTCTAAGTGGTTTTTCCGTGTGCCACTGTTGTTGTTTGGCACCATCTCAAGATGTCGAGACGGGTGTGATGAAGGGCACAATGTCCGGCTCGATGTCCGGGTGTCTTCGGCTCGATGTTCCCAGTATCCCGCAAACCATGCTGAATTGACAACACTAGAATCACTAGACCGTTGATTTGAAGGGCCTGCTCTTCTGCAGCTCTTCTGTGTTCCTCAAGTTCCCTCGCCTGCGAAAATGAAGTTGGAGATTGAAGAAGAAGAAGAAGAAGACAGAATGAGGGCCGCCAAAGTAACTTGCAATGATGTGCGCACAGAATTGCAACGGAACATCTATACGGGAAAATAAGTTTGGGGGATTGAGACCGCGGTTTCATGTATTCATGTTCCCTTACAACCCATTGAAGTATGCACAGTGTTTGCCTTTCAACCTCGAGACTCCCTACCGTGGACTGGGCGCGGCCGGTCTGGCCTGTGCCATCCTGCGCTCTTCTTCCCATCTGGCCTGCGGCGTGGCACGTGCGACATCGACGTTTGCACGGCCCCGATCGGCGCGTCCGATCGTAGCGTCCCGTCTCGGGTCCGAGTCGTAAGGCCAGGTTGTTCCCGTTCGAGTCGCGTCCTTGCTTGCGACACGTTTTACGTGCTCCACCAAAGTCACGAAGTACATGTGACACCGGCGACTTCATGGGACGCATGCGTTCGTCGCGGCTGACCTCTTTAACTGCCCTTCCGCGTTCGTCTTCCTGTCTGGCCTGCTGCACATTCCACAGCAGAAATGAAACAACTTGCAGAACTTGCAGGTCAAGTTTTGAGAATGTTCTCTATTAGAATGCAACTCCAGAATAGTCGAACTATTGCTTCAGAGCGTGTGGCAAATCACGTTACCCCCATGATATTCACGTGCAATGCAATTGGTGGTGGGCGTTCTTCAATGATTTAGGCTGCGATGCGCATTCGGCAGGAGAAAGGAAACGACGTAGAGACAGGGTTCTAGCATGTGTTCTCAAGGCAACTCAGTGATATTCTCATATATAGATTCGCAGCTTGAGTAGCCAATCTCAGATCTGCCAAACCCGCTTGCAATGTGAGTGTGGCCTCTTCTTCTGCCATTCTGCATTCTGCGGCCTGCTGCTCCGCACTGGAGAACATAGAGAAACCAAAGAACGAGTCAGCTGTTCTTTCTTGCTTATCTTATTTATTTGCATGCAGTCTCGGAGCGGACACCGTTGAGACTAACCTAGACCAAATTCAGATATGCCATGGTGGGCCGTACAGGTATTTGGCATGGTCTATGTTAGCCTCCACCGGGCTATCTTGACCTCTATGGGCGCGGTCTATGTTAGCCTGCGTTCAGTTGGTCCATGTAAGAATCGGTCATAGACTGAGAGTGGGAATGGTCCATGTTAGTGAGTGTCCGGAAATTGCCAAAAATAGCGCTAATACCGTTTCCCCAGGAAGTCACCGTTTCCAGTGGTCCATGTTACAGCGCACCTGAATTTGAGTTCTGGTCTATGTTGTTTTTCCCGGAGTAGTCATTGAATTGCCGAACATGTTTCTTGCAATCTTTGTGTTCACAGCATGCTTGGAATGTGTGCGTGAATAGTGACCTCTTCTTCTGCCCTTCTGTGTTCTTCTTCCAATCTTGCCTGCAACATGTGTAATTGAAAGTACAAAGAACATAGTTCGGACATAGTTGAACGTCAAGTATGCAGAATGCAGCTCATTGCCCAAAAAAACGAAATACTCCAACGATTGCTGCTTTTGCAACTTTTGTGTACAATTGTGCAAAGAAAGACATGCTTGGACACCAATTTTGCTGAATGTGGCTCGATAAAGTAAAACAAAAAAAGCAAGATCGTAGTACTCCCTACAATTGTGTACAAAGCATATAGCACACCAAAAATACTCGGAAAGCGCGTTGCGTGTTGACTGGCCTCTTCTTCCACCCTTCTGCGTTCTTCTTGCAGTCTTGCCTGTGAGACAAGGAAATCGAAATAACTACAAAGAGACAGAGTAAAGTGGCCCATAAAATCAACTGTGAACACTCTTAATTGTACAGTCACAGCTTGAGTAGGACATGTCACACCAGGAAGACCTGCTTGCAATGCATTTTGTGAGTTGCCAAACTGCAGGCAGACACTCAATGCTTCAAAGAACTGACGTCCGAAAACGTTTATTCGCAAATGTGCTTGTTATATGTTGTTCGATGTTCGAACAGTAGACCTCGGAAGAACACAGAATAGCTGCTCCATGTTGCGAAAAGAGTTTCTGAAGATGGCAAAATAGTTTCTGAATAATATTGCTGAAGAATTGTGGAAACTTCTTGGGAGTTGCAGAACATGGTGATGGACCTCTTCTTCTTCCCTTCGCTGTTCTTCTTCTAATCTGGCCTGCCGGCGTCTGAGAGCACAAGGGAAGATCTGTTAAACCAAGTTCTCACAATGCATTCACTGTGGTGCAAAATTCAAGAGAAAACAAGTTGTGGATTCGCATCCAATCTCAGATTATCAGTTGACTAAGACATATACACTCTATATAAATGCGAATTCTGAGTGACCTCTTCTTCTGCCCGTCGGCGTTCTTCTAATCTTGCCTGCTTCAAAACAGAACGGGTACATGTTCAAGACAGAGCTCTCAAAAAGGTGGTCGACAGATCCATAAATCGGAGTCTGTTTTGGTTGCAAAGTCTGATTCTAAAAAAAAACATTGATATATAAAAATACAGGTAGTAACTGACCTCTTCTTCTGCCCTTTTGCGTTCTTCTTCCAGTCTTGCCTGCAACATGCACTTGAAAGTAAAAAGCAAATAGCTTGGACACCAACTTTGCTGAATGCAGCCGATACAATGCAACACTATATTATATACCCAAACAGTATTACATCAATGATACTCCGAAGGAATATGCGGGCCTCTTCTTCTGCCATCCTGCGTTCTTCTTCCAGTTTTGCCTGCAACATGCACTTGAAAGTACAAAGCAAATAGCTTGGACACAACCTTTGCTGAATGCAGCCGATATAAGGCAACACCAGACTGCCCAAACAATAGCAGCACATCTGTGTTGCAATTACATCAATGATACTCTAATGGAATATGCGAACCTCTTCTTCTGCCCTTCTGCGTTCCTCTTCCAGTTTTGCCTCGAACATGCACTTGACAGTACAAAGCGAATAGCTTGGACACCAACTGTGCTGAATGCAGCTGATATAAAGCAACACCAGATTAACCAATCAATAGCAACACATCTTTTTTGCAATCCTTGCGAACGTATCATTCATATTATCTCAATGATGCTCTAATGAAATATGCGGACCTCGTGTTCTTCCCTTCTGCGTTCCTCTTCTAGTCTTGCCTGCAACATGCACTTGAAA